GAGAGGTTCAAGGTGCAATCTGCAATTGCCCTCTTGGCCTCCCATATATGCGCAAGAAATAATAAAAATAATGTCAAATAAAAAGATATGACATTATTTATGAAGAGTGAAATATTAATGTCTAGAAGCGAAAACATAGAGCAACAGAACAAGCTACCTTCTGATCTGAGGCTACTATGATTTCAGGTGATTGTAGAGCACATGTATCCTTTGGCATAGATGGTGTAGCATCCATCTCTTTTTTGCATGGTACGGTAAGTTCTGAGCCAGAATCCATAATGTTTTGCCCTTCCAAAGAATTCAAATGATCTGGACACTTGTCATTAGAACTGACATGAGAAAGCATGGTCAATTTTCTCTCTTCTGTTGAAGGCACTACTACATGCTCAAATTTTATTCCATCATGATTCAATGCTTCTTTGACTCCACTACATAACTCATTTAGCCTGTCCTCAAATCCAAGACCAACTAAGAGAGTTCTCAGAACATCTTCTGGAAATGGTTTGTCAGGATCAGGGCATGAAAGTTCCCCACGAATTCCAGTCCTTCCATACTCTTCCTGTAACATAAATTGTATAGTTCAAAATGGAACATAAAAGCACCAGATCATTCTGAACAGTATATATGGTGGCATACCTCCCATATTGGGATGAGTGACTGAACCATTTTCACATCTGAGCAGTTTTGTGAAAGGGATGTGAACATTTTAAATTGCTGATTAAGAATGTCTGGAAAGCATAAGAAATAAACAACTTTAGATACAAAATCATGAAGAATAGATGCAGGTATTCTGAAATATGCTAGAACAAACCATCTATAGTAGCATCTCCTTCAAGTTCACAAACACTTTGCCGTTTCACATGGCAAATGTCTTGACCTGATAGCTCATCAAATTCACTTGAGTTGTTCCAGATCCAGGCATGGGGAATCTTGGAAGAAATCCAAACTGGAGAACTCAACGATGGATCGTGACTTGAATCTGCCTAATCAAACCACATCATACAAGAATATAAGATTTATACAGGAGAGGAAAATTCATGCCTTTCCAAGAGTTAGGGAGAAATAAGAAGAGGAAACAGAGAAAAAGGTGACCTGAAAATCAGAGAATCCTGAAGTAAAGTCATCCCTCTCCTGTGTATATTTGCCAGCAACATTAAATTTCCTTGACATGAAAACACCTGGAACTGGTTGACGAAACTTCATCTTTGATAGATGTACACAACCCATCCCATACAAGTTGTAATCAATCTATAAAGGAGAGCACATATTAACTGAAGAGTGGTGGACAATTTAGATTGTGTTTGAAGATCCAATGGAGAAAGTAGTTTACATTAAACATTGCAAGGAAGAGAGCCACAGGCATCCACAACAGGGTTGTAGTCTTATCAACAGACTAATATGCTGAAATCATTTTTAAGATTTTGAATAATAGAAAAATCAAAATTTTTGGAACCATTTTTTTCATGACAGCTACCATTTTCTTTGATGGCCAACTCCAAAGCTATATCAAGTGGAGTGGGGTAATTAAACAATAAAGAATATTGGCAAACCTCTGAGATAAATCATCATAGAAAATGAAACCAAACTACAAAAAACACATGGCATGAGGACAATGAAAGAAAAGGGATGTAGTCAAGTTGCACATTGAAACATTTAATACCACTCAAACAACAGCAGTTTCAACGCACCATGCCACCAAGCCAGGATTTAGTAGAGGAATAATGAAAGTAGTCTCATTGATTGCTACTATTACCATGAATGCAAAACTACAAAATACAATAGAATGTCTCCTTTTTTAATTTCTTCTGAAACAGTTAAACTCGCGTCAAAAGACAGAATGGTTAACAGAGGATGAAAAAAATTTACCAACCATACTAATAACTAATTAGTAATCCATTTACATTTAATAAAAAAAAAAAAAAAAGATACTGAATGTAGAATTATATTTACCAGAAATTGGAGAATGAAGGGAATATGTGACTCATGGGGCTGCAAACTTTTATCAAGAACTGCACCTCCCTGAAAAACAAGTTTTTGCCATTGTTAAAATAGACAGATGGACTGTTAAAATAGAAAGATGGACGGCATTTTAATTAATATAAATACACCAATTCATATGCAGGAGAGATTCAAGATTAGGGACACAAAAGTATGCTCCATATTGCAAGACAATATAAAGGATAATATGTAAAAATTTCAATGAAGAAACAAATACCATAAAAGTATTCAAGTCATTTATGCATAGTCTTCGCTTTCTAAAAGAAGTAAAATAACTAAAAATGGGGACAGATCATAAAACTAAATTACTGCCAAACACCAGCAAGAGGTTCATACCAAAAGAAGATCAGCAGCACGGGAAACATCATGCGGATGATAGCTTAGTTTTTGTCAAGGTCCTCTATAGCATTCTTCCAGAATACTATCTCTAATAAAAAGAACTATAACATGGTATGATATATGGATACAGATTAATCTTCACAAATAGCTCCTCTGATGAATGGTAACCGTAAAACTTCTTTGCTCGAACAATGCTGCAACCATGCACATGCTGTCTTTTTGAACCAGCACCACCTTTAAGCTGTGAATTCAAAACAAAGCACATTGCATGCCATGTATGCCAGATCAGCAAAGAAAAGAGAGCTTTTCCAAGAAAAACAACCCTGAAATCCCAACTCAATCAGACTTTAGTCACAAATACCTTCAAGGCTTTCTCCAAGGAAAAAGCTAAAGCATCCACCATTGCTCCATCTGCAATAAATTAACAAGGAATACAATTCAATTAAATAACTGTTTTTTTTTTTTTTTTTTTACAAAATTTTCAGTTTTTAGATCTAAAAACAGAGTAATAAGGCATAGCTCCCAAAATAATTGCTACCTTCTTCTTGAGAATGAGAACCAGAAGGCAATATATCAGCAAACGGAACATATAAATAGGGCAAAGCCTACAAGAAAAACATGCATGATTAGTCCATTATAATTAAGAAAGTAATCAACCATGCTAAATGTTCAATTTTGAGAAATATAAACAGAAGGAGATTAAGGCCTAAGAGCAGTAACTGGCCAATGGCGAATTCTTTAAGCCCCGACAGACATTGCAATAGCATCCATAAACAACAACTAGCCGCAGCAAACCATAAACAGACTACTACAGTTTCTTAAGAGATAATTTAAAAACTTGCAACTTTGACATCAATCAAGCTAAGTGCAAAAACTCTTACTCGGTGAACATGCAAACAAGTCTTCTGACCAGCCGGTGTGGAGCCATAAATCCTTATGACTGGAACCTCATTCACCTTTCCGCCTTCAAAAACCAAAAAA